TGGTCAGGTATGAAAGCAGAGGAGGGGCAGAAAAAACACGGATCAGAGAACTGACACTCATCTTGAGTAGCAGCTACAGTGCCTGTGGAAAAGAGCGTGTTTGTTTCTGTGCCGAGAGGAAGGGGAAGGTTGTGGGAATCAAGATGTTTACACAGGTGGCTGGCCCAGCCATGGGGTTACTCTTATGAAATCCTTTGGAGAACTGAAATAAGAATGCAACGATAAGTGAAGCCAAAGAGTGTTTAAATGCAAACCTCAAAGGCAGGATTGAGACACTGTTTGCAGGCTCCCTCAGTCCAAGGATCGTAGAGCACTGCTGTTGTCTGCTGCTTGTATTGTGAGGCTTGCTCCAAGTCCGATTTGGTGAAACACTGGTAAAAATCACGGCACCTGTTTTACCTGCTGCCCTGTTACTATCACTTGTAACAGTGGTTACTGGAAGCATTAGGGTCATCGGTGTAGCAGAGGCTTTGTACAACTCTTCAGGCATCCCTGGTTTGATGCTAGAGGTCCTCTGTAGTTGCAATGACTTTCCCACTCAGACGCTGTGTGTGCAGAGGCATGTGTGTCAGAGCTGCAGCTGTTTGCCCCACGGCTGTATCCTGCTTTCCAGCTGGGGTGGTTTCTCTGTGAAAACTGTGACGTTGTGTGTTAACAGTGGAGAATGGAAACTGGGATCACTTGGCAGATCAGCAGCGCCTGGGAACTGTCAGTGTTCGCATCATGGTCCATGAGTGGCCTTTGGCGTCCAGTTCTGATCTGCAGCTGATTGTCATTCAGGAAGAAGTGACAGAAATTGATGGAAAACAGGTAAAAAAAAACTAACCCAACCCTCTGCTTGTTTTTAATTTAGAAGAAGGAAGTAGTTACCAAGGGTGAAAAGGTTTACATATGTCTGGCTGATGGCTGGAGCACAAAGTGTATAATCTAATGCTAGCACAGTACTGAGGGAGACAATACCAACCTAAGTTGCCTGCACAGTAGCAGGGGTGTTTCATGAGGAGAATTCCAAGTTTTAATGCTTCTATTCTTATTTTAATGATTAAGTGTTGGATGACTTTCCTTTAGGCTTGTTAGAACATCATTAACTCTCACATACTCTTTCAACACATGCATTTATGCAAAGTCAGACAAAATAATGTACAGAATAAAAGGGGCATGGGCTTCTTTTGTGTCCTCAGGATTTCCCCATTGTTGATCTAAGCTAACAGAGTGTTTCAGGCATGTAGCATGGGGGACAGCTTGTAGCAGCAGACTCTTATGGCAGGTGGGCTTGTTGTGAAAGCCCACAACGCCTGAGACTTTAGCCTTAGAATATTTTGCATGTAAGATAATCAATTCATTTGAATAAAAATCTTGACAATTAACATGGATTTTGAGATGAACAGGACCCTCCCCTCCCCCAATTCTAACTGTATTTGCACAAATAGCAGTGAACGCGAGGAGTTACGATTCCAGCTGAGACTGAAATGTGCAGAACTGAGTTTTCAAAATCACCTATAAGGTGTAGCTGTTTTTCCAACCAGAGAGGATCTAGAGAGAACGTACATGTCCTGAAGCCAGCACAAATGTCAAATTTTTAGAATAGAATAAAATCACTATGGTTGGAAAGGACCTCTGGGATCATCAAGCCCATCCTTCCTCCTAACATTTCCCTAACCACTAGACCATAGCCTCAAGTGCTACATCTACTAATTTTTGTAACACCTCCAGGGATGGTGACTCCACCACCTCCCTGGGCAGCCCGCTCTAGTGCCTAACCACTCTCTCAGGGAAGAAATTCTTCCTAGCGTCTAATCAAAATCTTCCCTGGCACAACTTGAGGCCATTTCCTCTCATCCTTTCATTAGTAATTTGGGAGAAGAGATCAACACCAGCCTCACTACAGCCTCATTTAAGGTAGTTGTAGAGAGCAATGAAGTCACCTCTCAGAAGACCTGGAGTCTCCTCCAGACTAAGCAGCCCCAGATCCCTCAGCCGCTCCTCATAAGGCATGTTTTCCAGCCCTCTCATCAGCCTTGATGCCCTTCGCTGGACCCACTCCAGCACCTCCATGTCCTTCTTGTACTGTGGTGCCCAAAACTGGACACAGCACTCAAGGTGCAGTCTCACCAGTGCTGAGTCCAGGGGCACGATCACCTCCCTATT